ATATATATATATATATATATATATATATATATATATATAATTCTTTTTATGCATTAATATTTATAAAATAAAATTATAAAAAATACAAAAAAGAAATTTAAAGGGCAAAATAGTCAAATCAAGTGCTCCATGGACCAAAACTACAAAAATTTCTTAAGTTTCGGACCAAAAACCTAGAAAAACCTTGATTTCGGACCTTCTGTGCAAGCTGGAAACTTTTTGGACCCCATCCAAAGATTTTTGCAAACCACAAGGACCAAATTTGCAGTTTTGTCAATCTTTAAACTATCCTAATAACATAAACAAATTACATTTTTTCATCATGTTTTGCAAACCTGTGAAGTAATACTAATTAGTATAGTAACCATGGGATGACATAACATCAACTCAATAACCAAACTGAAGTAATACTAATTAGTATAGTAACCATGGGATGACATAACATCAACTCAATAACCAAACGCATGTGTGGACCTTACAGGTTGACTTTTTGAAGTAATTCATCATGTTTTGCAAACCGTTGATTTTTGCATTTGATACGTTTGGTTTCCTCGCGCCGGATGCGGTGGAGTTTCTTAATAGAGTACAACGAATCATGCATAGTAATGTTATATCTCCTAGATCTATGGATGTAGTCTTCAAAAGAATTAGTTTTATCATACAAAAAGACTTAGCGGCACAGTTTGTTGTCCGTTTGCCATCTCACTCGTTATTCGATGATAATTAATAACCATATGAATATGATGATAAGGATAATGATTTACTCAATCTTCCCCTCCCCTTTGTTTTTTTCAATAACTTTCACTAACCAATTTAGACTTTTGAACGAATACAAAAAAGTAACTAGAGGTACAAGTAGAATTGCTTAATCTGACTGAAAACAGAAGTACAAACCACTAAAGTACAATGCATTGCAGTGACCACGTACAGATTCTATTATGTTTCTAGCTATAAAAAGCATAAAAGAAGTAACAAGAACTAGAAAGGAGAAAAAGAAAGAGCAGTGAACTAACAAGTAACAAGCTGACCCTGTATATGTTCTTCCTATCCTCCACGTGACATTTTGATTTTGGGCATTGCTTTCTTCAACTGTCGAGCACGTTCTTTTGCTTCTTTCTTGCGTAAAGCCTCAGCATTCAGCTTTGACTCAGCCTCCTCCATCATCTTCTTCTTCTCTATCTTCTTTCTCTGAATTGCTTCTTGTCTTGCATACTGAAGCTCCTTGTATACTTCTTGTGCAAGCTTTGCCCTTGCTGCTTCTGGTTTGGATCTAGCCTGTTTTCAACAGTTTCAAAATGTTATTCTGTGAAGAAAAGAGATGGAAGAATGAGTTTTTTGCAGATATTTATTGTGTGAAGAAAAGAAAATGTACCTGTGAACTGAGTTTGTAACGACCAATTAAATCAATGTAATAGGGAATTAGAGCCACTAGTCGTGTCATGTCAGCCATTTGATCGGCAGCAGGAAGAGCAAACTTAAAAATCAAGATCTTCCTGTGGGTACTTGGATGTTGATCAGAGAAATGCATTGACATGAACAATTTCCCAAATTTCTCGAATGCTTTTTCACCAAATACCTAATGAAGATAATAGAATAGAACCAATGAAATTGTAAAAACAAGTAAACAACCATTACAAATACAGAACATGGAATAATCACTGACCTGATCAAGTACAGTCTCGGTGATCAAATCTCCGGCGACCTCTTTAGACTCTGTAATGACACTCAATTCATCAGCAACCCATTTCCGATTGGTGGGTGCAGGCATCAAATTCCCAAACCTCTGAAGATCTCTCAATTCCTTCTGCATAGTTTTTGCAGCTTTCTTCTTAGCCAAAGCAAAAACCACATGATCCATTGCATCGTCATTCATATAGACCTCAAACGTGATCTCATCTTTACAAGGAACAATCATGTTATACAGCCTTGCTATCAAATCATGGCGGCTCTTCAGCTCCATTGTAGCCAACAATCCTTGACAAAACCTACGCCCACTGGCGTAGAACTTGAACACGTTTTGACCTTCTTTCAACAACAATGGAGAGTCATCGGTTTCTCCCACACCCAACAAACTAAAATTCTTCTCGAAAATCGAATCATTAGTAGCGAATTTAGCCGCCCAAGCTAGGGCTAGGGTTTCATTCTCTTTTTTCCCAGTGAAAAAATTAATCGCGAATATGATTAAGATTGATACACATGTTATCTCAATAGTATACGATCCAATACTCTTTTTCGCCGAAGTCGGTTGCGCAATCTTCTCGGTATCCTCCGGAGCATCCGATTCAGAACCACCCGGTGTGGTAGGTTCAGTGATTCTGGAGACTTCAGGGGGTGTTATTTCAGTAGGGAAGCCCTCGAACTCATCTTCATCCCAATACTCAAATGAAGAAGATGGGGTTGAGGGTTTGGTAGCGAGATCGGAATCGGCCGGCTGGGATGAGGGTGGGTTAGGTGGGCCATGGTGGGATTCGGGATCGGAAGAGGTGGATAAAGTGGTGGAAGGAGGAGGGGACCGGCGGGGGAGATCAGAGAGTGATGATTGGAGAAGAAGAGAGTCGTCATCGAGTTCAACTTCGTCATCGGCGTCAAAGCCTTCGAAATGGGAATCAGCAGCGGCGGAGAGGGAGATGTGGTGGATGATGAGGGAGAAAATCGAGAGGAGAGCGATGAGGTAGAGAAGGGTATCGCCTCTTGGGGTTAAGAGTGAAGAGAAGAATAGAGAAGAAGATCGTTGCTTAGCCATTGATGGAGCTTGGAGAGAGAGAGCGTGTGTGAGTGTGGAATGGTAGAATGCAATTGGGAACTGGGTGGCTTGACACAAAAGTTCCACACCACGTGTTACCAATAATTTCTGATAACATATAGAGATACTCCCTTAACTATTCACAAATTCATATTTTAGTCCTTTTAAGTTGTAAACATTTTATTGATTGTTTCGCTAGACGTTATTGATAGTTTTTGTTTGGATAATGACTTTTAGGTAATGTATTTTTCGATTTGTACATATTTAGTCATTGAGTTCTTTTTTCGTCCACATTTACCCCTTCAACTTGTTAAACTGTACACATTTAGTCCTTATGACCGACTACTCCAGTTAGCCAGTAAAAATGACTTAATAATGTAATATATTTCTCACTTTGTACACATTTAGTCTTTAATATTTTTGTACACATTTAGTCTTTAATATATATATTTTTTTTGCAAAATAAGTAATTTTTGTTTTTGTACTCATTAAATACTTATGAATGATTTTTTTTTAATTTTTTCTCACGAAATCTTACGTGTGAAATTCATTAGTTAATGAAGTGTTTGGGCATTTTGATGCTTATGTCCATCGCGATCTCAACTACTTGGTTGCTTAGGTCATGTGTTCTGAACGTCATAGCTTCTTCATACGATCTCGGATTTTAACGATCTTTATATCCATGCGAACGATCTTTATATCCATACGATCTCAGATTTTCGATTTTTTTCGTTTATAGCTATTTTTCATGTATCAACAACACATAGTTCATCTCGTCAGCACCTACTATGTATTCATGTGTCTGCCCATGTCCATACGTTTTTATGAATGCATGTATGGATATTTTTTTTATATAAAATCGTAAGTAAAAATATATTACATTTTAATGGGAGTAATCTTAATGAAAAAATGAACACGTGGATATAAAGATTGTTAAAAGCTAATATCGTATGAAGAAGTTACGACGTTCAGAATACGTTCAGAATACAAGACCTAAGCCAAACCACAAAACTTACGCAACCAAGCAGTCGAGATTATGTTGGACATAAACATCAACAACCCCAAACAACTCATCAATGATTGTATCACGTAAGATGTCATGAGAAAAACCTAAAGAAATCATTCATAAGTACTTAATGAGTACAAAAAAATGACTTATTTGAAACAAAAAAATGTTAAGGACTAAATGTGTACAAAAATATTAATGATTAAATGTGTACAAAATGAAAAATATATTACCCTATTAAGTCACTTTTACCGGTTAACCTGAAATAGCAGCGGTTTAAGGATTGAATGTGTACAGTTTAACAAATTGAGGGGGGTAAATGTGGACGAAAAACAAAACTCAGTGACTAAATATATACAAATAAAAAAATACATTACCCTTTTAGTCATTATCTTTTTGTTTTGATCTCATAGTCATTTTTGTTCCGGATAATGATTTGAAAATGTCATATCTTTCGATTGTTACTCATGATAAGAGATGCCTGATGTGATATATTTTATTTTATTTTATTGGGAAATGACTTCATATGTGATGAATGATGGTTATTACATATATATATATATAAAGTACTTTTTTATTTATAATTTCATTGGATTCACATAATTTGGATATAAAAAATATGGAGTGTACGACCGTATAATGCTCGTATTGTCAAAGGGTCCGAATTTATTTTACGTATTAGGAAACTTTTGTCGATCGCTAATTCGTTGGAATTAAGTGGCTTTTGTCACGTTTCCCATTGCTAATTATATTCGTTGATTATTTGTAAATGGACATTTTATCTATTTTTAGTCTTACTCACTAATATAATTACAACAGTTTATTATGTGTCTAATCTTATTGAGTTATTGTAATAAATTTTGTTTATATATATAAAAATTATATTTAGGAGTCTATTTTTATTCTTCGCTCAGAAACCTACAAAATCAACAACACAACCCTAATTTTGACCAACAGAAGTCAATAATATAGAATCAATCATATATGATTTTAGTTTCATTATCAGTAACGAAGACTCCAAAATCTGTTGTTATTGAAGTTCAAGTTGATTGGAGAGATATGTTCTAAACGTTGGTGTCAGAAAAGATGACCGGAGACTAATCGAAGATACTAAGTCATCGGAAAACAGCTAGACTGACTATTATCTGTCAGCAAAGGAGGTTATGAATAATTCTTTAAGTTTAATGATAAATTATATACCAAAAAATAACTAAATACGTCTCATGGCAATGATTGGTTATACTATTAAATTATTATCCCTTTTTTATCGTACCAACCCATTTTTCTTGAAACAATAATCTACTTTCACTGTGTTTCGTATTATAACTAATTTTCATATATTTAGTTTACCATTGTATAGGCATTCTCACATTGAACTTTTTGATGTCACGATTCATACCATTGTGTACATTGATGATGTGGATTTTTTAGTTTTTTCAAATGATGAGATTAACATACCATATTTATTATAAAACAGAACAAATAAGTTATTGCTTAATTTGTTTTAATTGTAAAAGTAAAAAAAAAGTCACCATATTAAAATGATAAAAACTTTTAGGACGTGTTCAACCATTATAAGGTAAAAGCTACAGATTTTATTTATATATAAATATCCGATAAAAATAAATATTAGTTTTTAAATATGTAAAACTATATAAAGTCTCTAAAAATATAACATTCCACTTTATGTTGAAATCAATATATAAAAGGATATACTCTAGAGATGTAGACTATTTTCAACATTTTTTATTCTCTCTCTTAGTAGATCTCTCTCTCCCTTCCTCCCCTAATTAAATACCCCTCTTGTATATATTTGTATTTTGTTACAAAAAATATTAAAAGAAATTATCTGGTAATTGAAAATGTTTATATTAATTTATGATGATTAAGAAATAAAAGGTTATAGTTTAATAATTTAACTATTTAAGGGAATTACTAAATAGTATGATACAAAAAATAAAGGGAGATGATTTGTACACAACAATTTTTCTCTATACACAACAATTGATGTTTTAAAATGTTGTATTGTACAACTCTATAATGCATAAATTGTTGTGTATGGCAAAAAACTGTTGTGTACGAATCACTTCCCAAAAATAAATGGTTTGTTTTAAGCCACGTTATTTAATACTATGGATATAGAAATATATAAGTTATGCAAATAGCAATTATTATTATTTTTAATAAAAGCTTGTGTGTAAGCAATTATATATGGATGAATGATTGTATGATTGATAATTTTTTTCCCTTTTAAACGTGTAAATAAAGAAATAAAAATCTAATGACATGTGTCACTGTTTCTCTGGATAGTTCATATAAAAAGGACAATAGGACAAATGTACAACTATAATTTTATTGGGTCTTTTTTGCTTTACGGTTTTCTTTGTAACGCCTCATTTCTGTTATGTAAATTAAATATAGTATTTTTTTCCCTTCCTTAAGAGGAACTCGACGAGTCTGTAGCCCAACTCGTCGAGTAGAGACGGGATTGCACGCGTCTTTAGTAGGCGACTCGACGAGTGTGTATCCCGAACTCGACGAGTCTGTATCCCGAACTCGGCGAGTCCGCTAGTCTGGATGAAACCCTAAATCCCAGTGTTTGTACCCTATTTAAATGTCATTATAGCCTCCCACCCCAGCCTCCAGCACCTTTAGAGCATTTCTCTATAAAACCCTAGTGCCCATTGTTGAGCTTGAGTGTTTTGTGATAGCTTGGGAGTTGTAGAAGAGAAGGAAGGAAAG